TCGCGCCCGATCGGGCGAGGTCCGCCCGATCGGGCCCCTACCTAGCTCGGGACACTCAATCTTCATTAACTTTTTCTCTTGAATACTCTGTACCTGTTCAAAAACTGTGCAAAAAACGCTTTGAAAGGTAAAATTGCACTCTCCTCACCTCTCAAAATAAAAATAAAAATAAAAGAAATAAAATAAAGGAAAAACTAGTCTAGAAAGCAAGAAATACGGGTTGCCTCCCGCAAAGCGCTGGTTTATCTGGGTCCCGCACGACCCTCTTACCACAATGTAACTTAAGATGAACGGGAACCGGTTAGGTGAACTAGGTCAACCGTACCGATCGTAGCCCCTTCATGGTATAGCCTGAGTCTTTGACCATTAACCTCTAACTCGTTACCTTGCTTATCAAACAATTCCACAGAACCAAACTTATTAGCCCTTTTTACAGTAAAGGGACTCGACCACCTTGACTTCAACTTTCTTGGGAAAAGTTTAAGTCTAGAGTTGAACAACAACACCTTATCACCCTCTTTGAACTCTCTTGGAAGGATCATCTTGTCGTGTCATCTCTGGGTCTTCTCCTTGTAAACTCGTGCACTATCATAGGCCATCAACCTAAACTCATCGAGTTGGTTAAGTTGAAGTAACCTCTTTTCTCCCGCTAGCTTAGCATCCAAATTGAGCTCCTTAATAGCCCAATATGCCTTGTATTCTATTTCCACCAGAAGATGACATGCTTTACCGTACACAATTCTATAGGGGGTAGTACCTATTGGGGTCTTAAATGCAGTTCTGTATGCCCAAAGGGTGTCATCCAACTTATCGCTCCAATCTTTCCTTCATTTGGCTACCACCTTCTCTAATATGACCTTGATTTCCCTATTGGAAACTTCAAATTGGCCACTATTTTAGGGATTATAGGCTAGACCTGTCCTATGGTATACACCATACTTCTTGAGAAGGGTGTCTAACTACCGTTCATGAAAGTGAGATCCTCCATCACTGATTATAGCTCTAGGTACTCCATATCGTGGAAAGATGGTCTTCTTGAAAAGTCTATGGACCACCTTGGCATCATTGGTAGGGGTGACAATGGCTTCAACCCACTTAGATCCATAGTCAACGGCGACAAGTGTATAGCGATTCCCATGTGAAGAAAGGGAATGGTCCCATGTAATCAACACCATAAACATTAAAAAATTTTACTTCCAAAATCCCGGTTTGAGGCATCTCATGCTGCCGCGAAATGTTGCTAGTCCTTTGGCAAGAGTTACAAGCCTGCAAAGTGTTAGCATCCTTGAACGTGGTGGGCCCATAGAAACCTGACTCATTAATCTTGGGAACCATTTTGGTAGTGCCATGATGTCCACCAGAAGGTGAAGTTTGGCAGATAGTAAGAATGTCGTGGACTTCCCATTCGGGAACACACCTGCGAAATAATCCATCTGCACACTCACAAAACAAAAAAGGATCATCCCAAAAATAATGTTTAACATCATAAAGGAATTTCTTTTTCTGTTGGTAGGATACATCGGGGGGTAGAGTACCACCCACTAAATAATTAGCAAAATCGGCATACCATGAGTGCTGCTCTACAACTGCATACAAGTGATCATCAGGGAAAGAGTCATCTATAGGAAGAGAATTCTTACCCTCATCATACCTGATACGTGACAAGTGATCTGCCACAACTTTCTCTGCACCTTTCTTGTCTTTTATTTCAACATCAAAGTCCTGGAGTAAGAGAACCCAACGGAGTAGCCTAGGCTTTAATTCTGCCTTGGCTATCAGATACTTCAGAGATGCATGGTCAGTAAAAACAATAACTTTAGAACCAACGAGATATGATCTAAATTTTTCTAAAGCATAAATCACAGCAAGAAACTCCTTCTCCATAGTGGCATAGTTGACTTGTGCTTCATCCAAAGTTTTACTTGCATAATAAATAGCATGCAAAACTTTCTTCTTTCTCTGTCCTAGCACGACACCTAATGCAAAATCACTTGCATCACACATGATTTCGAAGGGAAGAGTCCAATCTGGTGCACATATGATGGGTGCCAATATCAATGCCTGCTTTAACCTGTGAAAAGCATCAAGACACTCGTCAGTAAAATCAAAAGGGGCATCCTTGAGTAAAAGCTGGGTCAGTGGTTTAGCAATTTTGGAAAAGTCTTTGATAAAGCGACGATAAAACCCCACATGACCTAAGAAACTTCTAACCCCCTTAACATTAACAGGGGGAGGCAATTGCTCAATCATAGGAATCTTAGCTTTATCTACCTGTATACCCTTATTAGATACAATGTGACCAAGAACTACTCTTTTTGTCACCATAAAGTGACACTTCTCCCAATTTAGGACCAAATTGCATTCTTCACATCTTTTCAAGATTTTAGTGAGATTTATTAAATATGCTTCAAATGAAGACCCATACACACTAAAATTATCCATAAAGACTTCCATAATGGACTCTATGAAATCAGAAAAAAAAAAATACTCATCATGCAACGTTGAAAAGTAGCAGGTGCATTACATAAACCAAAGGGCATTCTACGATATGCAAAGGTACCATAAGGGTATGTAAATGTAGTCTTTTCTTGATCTTCAGGGTGAATCGAAATTTGGAAAAATCCTGAGTACCCATCCAAGTAACAAAAGAACTTATGATTAGCTAACCTCTCAAGCATTTGATCAATAAAGGGGAGAGGGAAGTGGTCCTTTTTAGTGGCGATATTTAATCTACGATAGTTAATGCACATACGCCACCCTGTAAAAGTTCTAGAGGGAATCAATTTATTTTTATCATTTTTAATTACGGTCATCCTACCCTTCTTAGGAACCACCTGAACAGGACTTACCCATTTTGAGTCCGAAATAGGATAGATAATACCTGCATCAAGTAATTTCATAACCTCTTTCTTGACTACTTCCTGCATATTAGGATTCAACTTTCTCTGGGGTTGAATACAGGGCTTATAGTTGTCCTCTAGATGTATCCTGTGCATACAAAAATCAGGGCTAATACCCTTAAGATCATCAATACTGTACCCAATTGCTCTTTTGTGGGTTCGAAGAACCTCTAGAAGTTGGGAAGTTTGTGGGTCATCAAGTGCAGTACTGATGATCACAGGGTATAGTTCCTGCTCATCAAGAAAAACATATTTTAAATGAGAAGGGAGAGGTTTTAGTTCAGGTTTCTTAACCTCTGCAGGTTTTGATTCCTGAATTAATTCACTACCTTCATGGTTTCTTTTGGGTCTAGCTCTTCTAAGGAAAGAGCTTTTTCAATGACATCCACCTCATTACCTCAGACGCTTGCATTATCTGCAGATAAATCTCCACAAAGAATTTCCTCCAAGGGATCCCTTGCAAGAACCTGTGGTAAGCTTTCATCACAAATATCATCCATTATATCAATCACATCAATCAAAACAATTTTCCTCTAGCATAGGTCCTTTCAAAACTTTCCCTAAATTAAATGTGATATTATCATCTCCAACCGAAAGGGTTAGTTTACCATTTTTAACATCAATAATGGCTTCTGCATTATGAAGAAAAGGCCTACCTAATATAACGGGAATTTGTGTATCCTCAGCCATGTCTAAAATAGCAAAATCAACAGGGATAAAAAATTTACCAACTCTGACAGGGACATCCTCTAAAATACCTAAAGGGTACTTAATAGAACGATCTGCCATTTGCAAAGTTATATTAGTAACTTTTAAATCACCCATATTAAGTTTAGAACATACAGACGATGGCATAACACTGACACTAGCACCCAAATCACACAATGCTTTATCAATGAAGGCATTACCTATATGACAAAGGATAGAAAAACTACCAAGATCCTTTAACATAGGAGGGGATTTATTTTGCAATAAAGAACTAAATTCCTCTGTAAAAGCTATAGTTTCTACCTCATCAAAGTCCCTTTTCCTAGTCAAAATATCTTTCATACATTTAGCATACGCAGAAACCTGAGTGATTAAATCAGTGAAAGGAACTGTTACCTGCAAGTTTTTCACAACCTCAAAAAACTTACCGAATTGTTTATCAAACTTACTCTTTAAATGTCTATTGGGGAATGGTAGTTTGATAACTGGGCTCTTCACATCTCCTCCCTTATCCTGAGATTTACCCTGCAAAGAAACATTAGAAGGGTAAGTATCTTTTTGTAACCCTATAGGGTTGATAGAATTAGCATTTGGTATAAAGGAATCAGGATCAGGAACAGGAACAGGAACAGGTTCATCTTCCTTTGGCATAGGAGGTCCATCATAATGTGAACCACTCCTTAGAGTGATTGCATTGGCTAGGGGTGAAAGTTCGGTGTTCGGTTTGGTTTTTGGCCCAAACCGAAACTGAACCACCTTAATTCGGTTTCTTGATTTTAGAAACCACACCGCACCACTTTACTTTAGAAACCGAACCAAACCGAACCATATTTATTTCGGTTTCAGAATAAAAAACCGAACCAAACCGATTTTTTTGGGCCTCTTTTATTTGGGCCAATAATCTGCAAATTGGGCCTCATTAATCAACACACTAAGTCACTATTCTCACTAACACAGCAAACAGTGCAAATTAACAAAATAACAGCAAACAAATTTAGTCCAATTCATACAAAGTACAAAGTCTACAAACCAATCCAAATCATACAAACTTAAGTTTTCAGTTTAAATAACAAACTAACAAAGTATCAAATCAAACCAATCAATCCATACAAACTCAAATTAAACAAGTTTTAACAGAACTACTTAAGTTAAACATAACATGATCAACATTCAACAACATTACAGCCAGCAGAACAGCAGAACAATAGCAGCAGCCAGCAGAACAGATCGATCCAGCAGGCAGCAAAGCAGTAGCAACAGAACAACAGAACAGTAGCAACAGAACAGAAGAACAGTAGCAGCAGCCAGCAGAACAGCAACACAGTAGGCCAATAGCAGCAGATCAACACAGCAGTGGCAGCAGATCAACACAGCAGTAGCAGCACAGAGCAATCACTCAAGTATTTCGACCACTTCATCAATTTTAGCATCACCAATTGCCATATTCTTCATTTCTATCATAATTCAATAAAATTCACAAGATAAGAAACCAAAATAAATATATATACATAATGAAAAATAATTAACTTTGATTAAATGTTCTTATATTTTACCTTCTTCAAGATGCTCAACTTCCTCTAAACACTCTTCAATACTTGGGAATGGTGCAGCACGTAACCAATTTTGAGCACATACCAAACCTTCCACAACTCGAGGAGTTAATGAACTCCTAAACTGATCTAGAACTCTGCCTCCAGTGCTCAAAGCACTCTCGGAAGCTACTGTCGACACAGGGACAGCAAGAACATCTCGTGCAATTTTAGCAACAGTAGGAAACCTTGAACTATTGAACTTCCACCAGCTCAAAATGTCAAAATCATCCACATCTTCAGCCGTATCCTCCTCCAAATATTTGTCTAATTCTATTTTTGTATCTCCATCTCTCTCACATTTGTGTTTCTTATACTTATTCTTCAATACCTCTATCTTCTTATGTTTGGGAGACATTGGAATTTTATCATCACTACTTGAAGCCGTTTCCACCTTATTCCCATCACCATATGAAGAAACACAATAATCCTCATATAAAGCATTCATAGCTTCTTTCACATTTTTAACCAACTTTGATGCAACAATAGAATTATAGATTTCATTTATCATCCACTCAACATAATCAAGTTTATAACGAGGATCAAGGACAACGGCAATAAAAATCAAGAGGTTTATTTTTTCTTGATCACCCCAATACTTTTCATATTTATCTTTCATTCTACAAGCCATAAGACACATATCCGGATCATCACTTGACACCAAATCATTCAAAAGTATACTAACACTCACCAATTCATGAAAAAACAGATTTGAAGTGACATATAAAGAGCCAGAGATATGCATGGTCAAATCATAAAAAGCTTGCAGAAATTCAGAAAATCTTCTCACATTGTTCCAGTCATCAGCATCAGGGCTGCCCTTACCATCCCTCTCACTCAAATCAAGTAAATAGTGAGGGTCTTCCTCATAATACCTCTCAAAAGCATCCTCAAGTTCAATAGCAGCAGATAACATCAAATAGGTGGAGTTCCACCTAGTGGGCACATCGAGGCACAATCCCTTTTTAGTGTTGATTTTTTCATCTACAACACATTTTTTAAACCTTTGCAAACTAGCAGGAGATTGTTTTATAAACCTAACAGCATGCCTTACACGTTGAATAGACTCATTAACAGTTTTCAACCCATCAGAAACAACCAAGTTGACAATGTGTGCAACACAACGCATGTGAATGAAACGACCCTTAAGAACCCTAGTTTTTCATCCATTCATTTTTTCTCAAATACCCAATTGCAGTATCATTTGAGCTAGAATTATCAACATTCATACACATGACTTTTTCAAGCCCCCAATCAAGCAAACATTTTTCAATTTCTTTGCCAATATCATCACCCTTATGACTAGAAATAGGACAAAAATTCAGAATTCTTTTGTGTAATTTCCAGTCATTATCAATGAAGTGGACATTCAAGAACATGTAATTGATTTGTTGTATAGAGGTCCAAGTATCAGTGGTTAAAGAAACTCTTGAATTACATTTCTTTAACTGATTTTCAGCTTTCTTTTCTCAGTTAAATAAGTTTCAAAACAATCTTTTGCTACTGTAATTCGAGAAGGAACATTAAATCTAGGTTCCATTACACCACAAAAGTGTCTAAAACCTACACCTTCAACAAACTTAAATGGAAGTTCATCAACAATTACCATATACGACAAAGCTTTTGTAATACAACCAGCATCAAATTTGTGGTATGTCAACCCACTAGTACCACCAGCAGCACTTGTTACTTTAGCACTTTTGAATGAAAGCAAACTTTGTTTTGAATCTTTAGGGTGTTATAAGGATACTTACGACAACGGTTAATATGAGCCCATAACACACTAGTGCCGTTTTTCTTTGCCCCGCACTTGTAGCTCATCCCACAATACTTGCAAGTTGCCTGCCTTCCAGAAGGTAAGTCTTCTTTCACAAAATGCTCCCAAACTTCAGACCGCTCTTTCATCCTCTTCCTTTTTACACCTTCTTCTTTTTTGTTACAGTCAGATTGGTCAGTCTCAGGTTCAGATTGTTCAGGGTGGTCATTGACACCCACATTGGTTGCCATTGGCCTAGGACAAAAAAACAGCAACATAAGAGCAGAAAGTTAATAAAGGAAGAGGATGAACATGCAATAGCAGTCTAGTAGAGTAATAGCAAAGCAGAGTAATAGCAAAGCAGTAGCACAACAGCGGAGTAATAGCAAAGCAGTAGCACTGTAGCAGTCTAGCAGAATAGCAGAAAGTTAATTCCCACAAATTGAACATGCAGTAGCAGAGAAATTAAGAAAACTAAAATTCCCACAAATTAGTACAAACTAATATTCCCACAAATTAATTCCCACAAATTAGCACAAACTAAAATCGCAATTCACAAATTAAAATCGCAGTAGCAAGTAAAATCGCAAGTTAAAATCGCAAATTTAAATCGCAATTCACAATTGAACATGCAGTAGCAACGATTAGTATTTAGTACTTTAGTAGGAGAAGACAGGAGAGAACAAGTAAGTAGAGCAACGATTAAAATCGCAACTTGAATTCGCAAATTGCATATTTCATACCTTAATTAGTAGGAGAAGACAGAAGAGAGAGAAGCAGGTGGACCGTTGACAGTGGTCGCCTGGTGCCCTGGTGTACTGGACGGTGGTCGGAGACTCAGAGGAGACAGTCAGACAGGAGAGGGGAAGAAAGAGTGGAGAAAGGCTGAGAGGATTAGAGGAATTAGGGTTTTTTTTATTTTTCATTATATACCTAAGGTATTTAGTTTTGGGCCAGGCAGGGGTTTTGTAGGATTGGACTTATAATTCGGTTTGGTTCGGTTTTGTTCGATTTTTCAATTTCCCGAACCGAAAACCGAATTTTTTTTATTTTTGACACCGAAACCGAACCACCCTCCCAAAAAACCGAACCACATTCCTTATTCGGTTTGGTTTTTCGATTCGGTTCGGTTTTACACCGATTCACTTTCACCCCTAGCATTGGCATGATATGTGGGATGAATTGATTGCGATGGTAGAGCTCCCTGCAGACGGGTTTGTAGGGTAGATGAAATCTTCGCAATTTGATTATCCATGATTTTACTGTGGGCTATAATTGAATCAATTTGTGCAACCCTACTCTCCATGTGCTTTTGCATGCTTGAAAGTAGGGGTGTGCATTTTAAGACCTGGACCGGAAAACCGATCGGGACCGGACCGGACCGTGGGATACCGAGTCGGTCCTCGGTCCTTAGAAAAGAGAAATTTCGGGTTTTCGATCCGGTCCGGGCAAAACCTGGAATATTACGGTCTGGACCGGAAACCCGGGGAAAGTGTTTTTTTTTTTTAAAAAATTTATTTTTAATTTCCTAAAAACCCTAAAATTCAATCAGACACCACGCCTATTTTCAGTTCTCACTCTCTTTCCTCTTCTCACTGACTCACTCTTTTTCCTCCTCTGCTCCTCACCTCCGTTTGCCGCAGCTCCGTCGCACATCATCACCGCCTCCTCTTCGACTTCCAGCCTCCAGGAGTCCAGGTCTGTCCTCCAGCCTCCTCTTCGTTTTTTTTTGTTCAATTAAATTTTTTTTTTGTTTAATTAATATCAATTAAAATCAGCCTCCTCCGATTGCCGCAACTTGCAAATCCGATCACTCCAGCTGTCTCCGCCTCACGGCCCTCATCGGAAGTCATTCCTACTCGGAAGTCAGGTTTGTTTGTTTTTTTTTTTCGTTTTTGTTGCTTGATAAATTGATAGGCAATCTTGGATGCAATTGTGTATTTGTGTCATTGTGTGTATTTAATTTGTTTTCCAGAGTATTGCTATTCAATTGTTCAAGTATAAGTATACAAGATAACAAGAATACAACAACGGATTCATACTCATGCAATGTAATTTGCTTGCATGTTCTTTCGTTTTTAAAAATGTTTTTGATTTTTCATTTATTTCTATTCTTATGAAGTTATGATTATGTGATTGACTGATTTCTGTCATAATTCAGAAATTTATGGGTCTACATTCAAGCTGTATTTTCTGGGATTTATAGGTCTAAATTCATGCTTTATTTTTCTAGGATTTTGATTTGTCATCTATTTAATTTCATTCTATTCTTAACATAGAATTAACTATAATGTTGTAGATGGCGAGCTCCCAATCCAAAAGGGCACCTATATACTCTTCTGATCAAACGGCACATACACTTTCGGATGCTGCTAACAACACTGACGTTGATTTATTGCGGCAATCCTTGCCTCCGGACAAGACACTTACGGAGGGACGGAAGTATTTGGTCAGAACAAAAACCAAGAGGAAGGCTGAATATTGGAAGAACTACATTGAATACGTAGATGATGATGGCAAACTTCTTGTTGAATGTAAGTTTTGTACAAAAACTTTTGCTGTTGATGGCAATGTTAATGGTACTAAAAATGTTAAAAACCATTCTGAAAATTGCTTTGGTAATCCTGAAAATAAAGACAAGGGTAAGGGTAAGCAAAGACAATTGAATTTTCAACACGGGGATAATGAAAATGAGGCTGGAAAAATGAAATGTGGGGTTGTAAATTTTAAAGAGGTTAGAGAAGCATTGATTCGTATGGTCATTACTGATGAACTGACATTCAAACATGTTGAAAAACCTGGTTTTAAGTATTTGGTGGAAGTAGCTTGTCCTGGGTTTACCATTCCTAGTCGTACAACTATTGCTCGTGATTGTTTACGCCTTTATTATTGTGAAAAAGAAATACTTAAATAATCATTTGAGGGATGTCAAAAAATTTGTGCCACAACTGATACTTGGACCTCAATTCAAAGAATCAACTATATGTGTCTCACAGCTCATTACATAAATAGTGATTGGAAATTGAATAAAAAATTATAAATTTTTGTCCTATTTCTAGTCATAAGGGTGAGGCAATTGGTAAAGCAGTTGAGGCATGTCTAGAGTATTGGGGTATTGAGGATAAGTTGTACACTGTTACAGTTGATAATGCTAGCTCTAATGATCTTGCTTGTGCACATTTGAAAAAAATGGTTCAACGAACTGGATGTGTTAATAATGGAAATTCTCTTCATGTTCGATGCATAGCTCATATTATTAATCTTATTGTTTGGGATGGTATTAGGGAGCATGGTGTGTGCATTGATAGGGTTAGACATGCTGTAAAATATATCAAGAATTCTTTTGCTAGAATTTCTAGGTTCAAAGACCTTGCTCAAAAGGCTAATATACAAAGCAAATCTTCTTTATGCTTTGATGTCCCTACTCGATGGAATTTAACTTACATGATGTTGGAAACAGCTTTGAAATTTCAAAAAGTTATTGGTGGTGTGTCACTTCCTGATGGAGAAGGTGTGAAGGATAATGAAAAACCTCCTGACCATGATGATTGGGTTAAGGTGGGAAGGTTAGTTTTGTTTTTGGAGGAGTTTTATCATTTGACTCGTAATATCTCTGGTTCTCTTTATGTGACAAGTAATAAAGGTTTGTTTGACATTGCATATGTTTATGATTTGTTAAATGAATGGGAAAAAAGTGATGATTCGGATTTTCAAGCTATGGCCATTTCAATGAAGAAAAAAATTGATAAATATTGGGGAAAAGTGGCCAATATGAATATGTTTATATATGTTGCTGCCATTCTTGATCATCAATCCAAATTTTGTATTGTTTAGGAAATACTTAGGGATATGTATGGAGAGGAAGAGGGGACAAGACTTGGTGTTAAAGTAAAGCAATTTACTTACTCTTTATTTGAAGAGTATAAAAATTTGTATTCTTCCTTCATTCCTCAAAGTGGCCATAGTGAAGATCATGTGCCTATTGATGTAGATGTTGATGTGGCGGATAAGAGTAAGAATAAGGCCTATTTTGCAAAAGTTAAGGGTAGAGTTAATAAATTGATGAGAGCGGATAGTGCATTTGAAAATAGTGAGTTTGATAGATACATCAATGAACAATTAGGGCCGGAGGAAGAAGAAATGGATTCTTTATCTTGGTGGGCACAAAATGGACATCGTTATCCTATTGTTTCACGTATGGCACGTGACATACTAGCCATTCCATTGTCTACCGTTGCATCGGAATCCGCCTTTAGTACGGGAGGTCGCCATCTCAATCCTTTTCGGAGTTCTTTGACACCTAAGGTAATGTTTTTTGCTTTAAGTAATTTTATTTTTACATATTTATAATCTCATATTCTATGTTGGTTTTT